AAACTGGAGCAGGAAAGGGAAAAGGAGATGGAATGTTGGCCGACATTGCTATTCATCAGTGAAGCTATCGCAAATGAAGAATGAGGTTTGAACCTTCTGGTTTAAATCATACTTATGGAGTACAGTTTTGTTTTTTTTTTTTTTTAAATATTGGAGCCAGAAGGGACTCTGAAGATCACATGGTTAAATTTCCCTTATTTTTCAGACAAAGAAGCAGAATCCCAAAGAAGTGAGCTGACATTGATGAAGGTCAAACTGATCAGGTCCCTTTTTCTCTATTGTTCAACTCACAGAAGCCTGGCTCAGATTTTCATCATCTTTGTTTCTTACTACCAGTAATAAAAATTTTTGGTCTTATTTATTCTGATAATTTTGAGATGAATCACATTTAAGCCTCTTTTAGACCATCAGCTATATCTAATTTATTTTTTAAATCTCTAATAGTGTCTTGAACATAGTAAGTTCTCAATAAATATTATTGAATGCATGAATAAATCTAGAAGCACACTGTTTAGTAGACTAAACAATATATACATATATATGCATATACGTGTGTGTATACACATATTAAGTAATGGCTATAGAATTTTTAGTTCTTATTTTACTTATCTCATAGATCTATATACATCACATAAACAAAATCATAAAGCATATTTTTATATATTATATATTATTTCTTTTTTCAAAACTGACTTCCAGATGGTTAGGTGCTACGATCCTTAGATTTATTTGAACTGGCTGTTCTAAATAAACTGAATTGTTCTATGATGTAGACTGTTACCTTTATATAAACTTTATCTAATATCACTTGCTCTCAAACTCTCAAATTCAACCAAATTCCCTCATAGATACCTGAGCTATTTTGGAGAGTATAGGCAAAATTCTACATATGAGAAGTGCCCTTCTATAAAAACTAAGGGCAGAGAAGCCAAGATTCTTATTGAAGTTGGTTCCCAGGCTCCCTACCTCCCAAGGGAGGCATTATTAGAGAAGCTTCTGTATTTACCTATTTTATATATTTATTTTACTTTATTTTTTTATTTTTATTTTTATTTTTTATCTTTTTTTTTTATACTTTAAGTTCTAGGGTACATGTGCATAACGTGCAGGTTTGTTACATATTTATACTTGTGCCATGTTGGTGTGCTGCACCCATCAACTCGTCAGCACCCATCAACTCATCATTTACATCAGGTATAACTCCAATGCAATCCCTCCCCCCTCCCCCCTCCCCATGATAGGCCCCGGTGTGTGATGTTCCCCTTCCCGAGTCCAAGTGATCTCAATGTTCAGTTCCCACCTATGAGTGATTTTTGATAGTAACATTTCAAAATCATTGAAATGCTATTCATTGCTTTTGGAAGGTCACCACTCAAATCAAATGGTCAACATTCTATCATCTGAATAAGTCAGTCCTTAGAATTGTAAATGCCTTTGAGGTGCATTATGTATTTCAGGTTCATGATTCATCTGCTTTGGGGAAAAGTATTATTTCCTGGCACATGTTCAAATGCTGTAATTTAAGACATTTATAGTAAATTATTATACCACTGTCACAAATGCAGTTGATATGACCCCAGGAATTATGCCTGGGGAATAGTTGACTCATCTAGTTGGATCTGGCTCATTATTCTTTAACATGCTAAAGAAAAAGAAAAGAAACAAAGAAAAAATAACTCTTTAAATTTTTTTGTCAAATACCTATGAAACATAGGAATAGTGAGCTGAAATGTAAGTTAAAGAAATAATGTAAATGACCAAGCAGAGAGGATCAAATTGTTAAACTTCTTTAGAGGTGTCATTTAAACATTTGGCCTAGGAAGTGTCAGACGAAACGTTGTTACAAAACAACTAAAGAGCAACTCTGACCTAAAAGAGAGCCCCTTTCTGCTTCTAGGTTCTGAAGACCCAACTTTTGCCCTCTTCTTCCCACCCTCTTAACCATTTCCCATCATAAAATTCTTTAAAAGTGTTGGTGTAAATCTGTTACTGAAAAACATAACGTCTACAGCATGCTTCCAGAATCTATCTCATTTTTATTTCCCTCATGGTCCTTTTCATGATCACCTGGGTGATTATAGTCGTCTTGTTTGCACTGTTGTTAGATTAAGTGCTTCCATGAGGCTTTTGCATGAGGCATAGACAGTTAGTGTTGACATAATATTGAAGTTAGTCAAATATTGGCCCAGAGATGGAATCTGTGGTGTGTAGGGACCAAAGTGCCTCCAAGAGATATGGTCTGAGCTTGTGAAAGAACTGTGGAGGTTCTGAGCTGACACAAATGGCATACGACAAGACAGGCTGGATAGGATTCTTAGATACATAATCCCATTTCTGGGGTATTCAAATTTAAATTTTCCCACACTCTTCCTGGGGTCTCCTTAATCAGGGTTGACCCAAAGCTGCATTAGACTGTACATGACTCATGCTTCAGACCCAAGCCAAGATCTGAGATTTTTAAGAAAAGAGGTAATTGAATTATACCCTTTAGGGCTGCTTCTTAGCAGAGGAAAATCACAGAAGGTTGTATCCTTTCCAGGACACCTTCCCCACATGCTACACACACACACACACACACACACGTGCGCACACACACACACACAGACACACCTTTGAGAACCGTCACCACGGTGATTTATTAATAGTATGTTATATCTTTAAGTACTTAGGATTAGATAAAAATTAAGAACTACTGATTAAAATTTCTTATTTAATTTTAGGTGTGTGCTGATAGTTATGTAGGTACAGTTACATCCATATTTATAGTATAACAAAAGTTGATGGCAGCAGGAAAAACAATGAAAAAATCTACAGAGACTCCAGAATAAATACATTTTGTATGGACTAGCTTTAATATTAATAAATCAATTAAATTAGATTTTTACTCATATTTTTATATTGCTTAGATTTATAAATTAATTTCTCTCTATTAAGGAGACATCTCTGTTTTTACATCTCCATTTTATTCTTTGAACAGAATTGAAATATAATCCAGAACCTTCTCTAAGAATATTTTAAAAATGTAAATGTAGAGGCCTTATATTCCAAACTTTTAACTTATTAAATATACTGATTATAGATATATAAGTAGTACATTGGTACAAATTCAGTCTTTAATTTTCAAAGAAAGTTGTGACATAGGAATTATATAATAATTGGGAACAGAATTTAATATTTTGATATACATTATTTTTTTTTTTCTTTTCTTGCTTCTAATATCTTTCTTGACATTTTTGTGTGTGTGTGTTCTCTTCCTGTCACCCAGACTGAGCTGTAGTGGTATGATCATAGCTCACTGGAGCCTCAAACTCCTGGGCTCCAGTGATCCTCTCACCTCAGCCTCCTGAGTAGCTTGGACTACAGGTGTGCACCACCTGCCCAGCTAATTGTTAAAAAACCTTTTTGTAGACATGAGGGCTCTCACTATGTTGCTCAGGCTGGAAAAATTCTTTTTAAGTATTTTCTAGAGGTAAGCTAAAAGTCTATAGGTTGTCATTAAATGATTTGTACCTTGTTTTATTAGCAAAGTTAGCCAAATTCTACCTTGTAGATAATAAACCATGATAGTTATGTCCATACATTTATTCTTTCACCTTCTTTGGTCGCCTAAATCCCTTTTTCTGAACTGCCTGTCTGCCGCTCCAATCCCAGCCCAGTAAGCTATGATCGTACCACTGTACTCCAGCCTGGGTGGCAGAATAAGGCCCTTTCTCTTAAAAACAAAAATTTTTGAGAACTTCATTTCTAACCCTTGCTGACTCTTTTGAAAATAAACCTTGTTTGACTCTAATCGATCACCTGAGAATATGTTTCTACTAGTGGAGAAAGTCTTGAAATGTATCTCCTGTTTTTCTTAGTGATCTTTATGTCTGAACAGCAGCATGAGAAGAGTAGCGTGCTGTGTGAGTGTGTATCTGTGGGTTTTTCCACATATCTTATATGTAAATTGCAAATAAGGGAACTAAAATTTTAAAGATGAGTCAAGGATGAGATAATGGTACGTGGGCATGATGCTAGGAAGAAAAAAATTAGCATCCTAAAGTTAAGATAATGCCACCATTTCAGTAAGAATAAAAATAATTCTTTTAAAGAATAGTATCTCTGGTTTATTTCCTCATTTCTACCTTTTACTTCTCTGTAAATAATTTCAGAGATCATATTATAAAAGACATATGATGTAGGATTAACAAAACAGGATTAGAAAAAGTATATAAAAAGTATTTACAAAGGAGAAAGCTGGGACACTCCATGGGAATTTTAACATGGTCACCATGATAGTGAATGTAACCCAGTTTTGGGTTTCTGAGCAAAGGTGTAGAGGATAGGATGTGTTACAGACCTCTAGTATTCACTGGGGATGAAGCATAACCGTTTCCCAAGGGAATCTTTTTTCCAGACCTAGCTCTGAAGTACATTACTCACGTGTTTTTTTTTTTTTAAATGATATTCCATAATGTGATGGATGTATTTCTCAAAAATAATTTTGATTAAATATAGAAGAAAATCCCTGAAGGCTTTTTCCTATATAAACCTGTAGTGCAGATTGAGGGCAGAATCCAGTGCATATACAGAGTGTTATGCAGCAAAACATACGAATTGTTGAATGTAACCCTGTAAAATTAATTACAGTGTTAGAATTGGAATGTTCAAGGGAAATATTTCTCTCTGCTCTGAAATTTAGAATAAAAAAAAGAAAGACAGACAAATGAAGTCTTCTTCCCTTGATTCTTAAGACCAAGATTTTTTTTCTCTGAAATACAAATCAGCTTCTATTATCTTACTTTATCCATTCTGCTTACCTCTATCTCAGAAGGAAAACAAGGTAAACTTGACTAAATAAGTGCTGACAAGATTCACTTTAGAGTGATTATATAAATGTATTCTGCAGCTACTTAAAATTCATATTTCAGGCTCTAGTTACATATACTTAAGATATGGATAAATTCCACCAGGCAAAAAGACAGAAAATTGAAAGGAAAAAAAAGACAAGGGAACCAAGTCAGTAAAAACATTTTAATTACACCCCAAGCCAAAGGAACATTAAAGTTAAGGGAAAGCCTGGAAAAGAAGACATTTTTATGGAAGCATATGATTTTAGATCACGTATAAAATAAGACAGTTATAACATAACCATAATATATTGAAAAGGGTGGAACATGAAGGTATATTATCATCATGACCAGTTATAAATAAATCAGTTGTTCATTATTTCCATTGAGAGAACAAACTGATGGCAACATCTATTCAACATGTGAATGATTCATTTAATAGCTTTTCATGCCTCATTTCTGACACTTTTTTTGGGAGGCTAAAAATACTGAAGTGATTGAAATACACTGTGCTAGAGTGACTTGTACATAATTTGTTACTAACTGGTACTTTTATTTCTAAATGATTTTTTTCACTTCATAATGAAATAGCTTAAATGCTAGTTCTTCAGGATTTGCTGTGGTGAGAAACTTACTATTGGAATTTCCTAATCAGTGACAGGTAAATTAGATGGATACTTTGCATGTATTAAATTATAGTGGTATCCTGGGGAGACTGGTGTGTTGTCTGTGATACCATGACTCTGGAGAGAAATGGGAATATCCTGTAGAGGATTTCTTTTTATCTTGCCATCCATTATAATAATATTATGTTAAGTATATGGAATATACTCCAATAGATAACTTTCTAACACATATTGGTTTGATGAAAATAATCTTGAGATATTTTAATTTTTTAGCAATTGTCCCTAACAAGCTTCTGGACCTTTCATAGAATGCCACACATAAACAGTCATTTAAAACCAAGACCTTCATTATTCAAGGGATTTGTGAAAGTCCTAAATTGAGCCACAGGCAAAGAGCTGTTTTTATGAGAAATGTCAAAGGATTTTTTAAAAGAGGAGTTTAGGCCTTATGTGAATTTTCTTAACCTCTAGTATATTCAATCTATTGAAAAAAAGAAAGACTTACTTTGGAATCTAGGTTTGATTGTCAGGTCTGGCACTGAGTGAAATGTAATCTTATTTATGTTATTTGGTGAGCTATTAGCACTCTATAATATTGTATAATTGGACATTTCATTTTTCAAGATAAATTAATGTAAGCTTTTCCTCTTCCAGTCTTATCACTCACATTGTGTTGGCACATATGTGTATGTCATATGCTATATAAAACTCAGACTGAGAAGGAAATACTGAAGAAGACATAAACGTGAAGACGAGAGGAAGGGTAAAATAAGCAGAGTAATATATTATTCTCCCTGTGGTTGATTTAGGACCCTGAAACTATAACTGTTCTTCACTTACTCCCTCAGCAAGGTCGCCTGTGATCTGTCCTAATGGAATGGAGAAATTTAAGATGTATTTATTCCACTAATTCAAAGGAATGAAAACTTACTTAGGTTAAGTCTTCCCTCCTTAGAACTATCTCATTGTAAGTGTAAGACCCTAATTTAATTTTTTGTCTATTTCTTCCCTTTTCCTTATTTTCTTTTTTTAAAAATTATAATACATATTTTCAAGGCAGGAGTTTTTGAGTAATTATAACAAATGTGATATACACTGGGCAGTTCAACAAAAGTAATAAAATATGGCCTGTTGTCTTGTCATCATTAGCCTAAAATGTTTAATTATGCAGATGTTTTAACGAAAAAATCGTCACAGGTTCTTGCAAAGTAGATGGGGTACAAACCTGAAAAGAAAGGTAGACATCATCTAAGATTTGTGTTTCAGCTATTGTTATATCTTATGAACCTGGAATTTTCAATCAGCAGATGGAGATTTAATAGTATTTTTCAAGCCTTTCTGGAGACTGTCCAATTGTCCAATTACTTGCCATCATCATTCCATCCTGCTCCCCTTGTAGTCCACTCAGGAGTGTAAATGTCAGTATTTCACGCTAATCTTAACAGTCCCAGAGCCCCATGAAATAAAAAGCATATTGATTTTTTTTTGTAAACCAAGTGGAGTTTCCCAGACTAGATTTTGAGCCTCTTAATTGGAATACAGAACAATTGTGAAACTTAAAAAATGTAAAGGTTGTTATAATTTAATTTATAGTCACTAACAAATTATAGACTCTTCACATATAAAAGATAAATTCAAAACATTCACATTGAGGATGTTTTGGATATTTAATAGAAATAGTTGTGGTCTAGTGAGTTCAGTTTTACAGGCTCATTTACTACCACATAGCATGTACCACCCTGTAGAAAACTATCTAGAGTGAAAATTTATATTTTTGAGAAATAATTATTTGTATATAGTATACATTTTATATATTGGGGATTCTCATGGCTGCCTTTGCCATACTGCACACTCTTCATAATCCTCAAGAGTATTTTAGAATATTAGGCACAATTCCCTTGGCATTCATTAAAATAACATTATTCATGATGACTTTCTTCGAGTTAATACTGATATGTTCTGAAATTCTAAAATTAAAATACATTCATTTTCTTTCTTTCTTTTTCTTTTTTTTTGAGACGGAGTCTCACTCTGTCGCCCAGGCTGGAGTGCAGTGGTGCGATCTCGGCTCACTGCAAGCTCTGCCTCCTGGGTTCACGCCATTCTCCTGCCTCAGCCTCCCCAGTAACTGGGACTATAGGCACCCGCTACCATGCCCGGCTAATTTTTGTATTTTTAGTAGAGACAGGTTTTCACCATGTTGGCCAGGATGGTCTGGATCTCTTAACCTCATGATCTGCCTGCCTCCGACTCCCAAAGTGCTGGGATTACGGGCATGAGCCACCATGCCCAGCCTTCATTTTCTTAAGTAGGAAGATCAGAGAACTATGCCTTAAACTGGTTGCTGAATTCACTAATACTATTTTGGTTCATCTTAATGCGAAGTGCATTCTTGAAAATTTAAATAAAAAAGTGCCATGAGCACAAAATAAACATTGGAATCCTTTGAGAGTAATGGTATTCTCATAAAGAGAAGTGTTTGTTAAGGAAAGAAATACGTATTTAAAGATGCAAAGAGTCAATGGTACCAAGCAACTTCCAAAACAACTGTGCTTATTGGTATATCAGGTAAATTCACCATCTTACTAATTTTTCCCTACTTTTAAATGAAACATTTTATAGTAATAGAACAAAAGACAAAAGAGTCTACATGAAACCTAATTCTCATTCATTTTCATATCAGTCTTATGCCATAACCTGTAGATGATAAAAATTTAAATTACACAATATACCTTTTCTACATGTTTTCACATATTCCTGAAGTTGGAATTGTCTTATAGGCTTTTTAACCCACATAGGTAGCATTTTAATGGACATTTTACAAATGAAACAAAACAGAAAACTTCTGACCGTACATTACATTTATTTATTAATTACTCTAAGTTTATTCAATAAAATTGCATATTTTTTATTTATCATGGAATAGCTAAATTAAATCATTTTCATCTGAGGATTAATTTGAAAAGATTGTGGGAAGGGGTAATTTTTTCAAAATTTTATTTGACATATAGACTAGAAAAAACTGAGTAGCTATATGGGGAGAATACTAGACTCAGAAACTATTAGAGTCCTAGTTTTCTGGATGATAATACCCACAGACATCTAAAGACTTCTAAATTTTAGTTAGGAGCTGGATGTGGAGCCTGTAGGACAGACCTGGGTTTTATAAATGGCAAACCTGAAGTTTCTCAAATAGCATTTACTCTGTGAGGCCTTTTCTGATTTGCAGTAAACCCGATCATTTCACAGTATCATGTACAGACTTCATTTTTAGAAATATCACATTGAGTCACAATAATTTATTCACTATAAGCATCGATCACTGTGTCTCACATCACAGTAACTGGAATACCGTAATACAAATGAATAAATGCTTATTTTATTGATTAGAATTAAAAATATCAAAATATCATATTAAATTAAATGTATATTAAATGTAAAATATAGAGAAGACAAGACACATTGAACAAATACCCATGAATGAAAATTGTACCTCCCAAATAAACACAGAGATAACCGTAAATTAATAGTCCTAGTGATGAGCAGAGTTTGATGAAGAGAATATTTCTCTACTTGAAAAATTCAAAAAACTAAAGTAGCTTCTTATGCATCATGTTTCAGATTAGAAATATATATATTTGACTGTATTTTTTAAATGACAACTTTACTGACAATTATTTGTACTTTTAAGGCAGAAATATTTCTGCATATTCCTAAATATCAGTGCATTCATAAACTAAAAATACTTCACTCTAGTGAAAAATAATTCTAAGTAAATGTACATTCTAGTACTGGTCTGTTTGCTATTGTTGCAGGACTTTTCCTTATTTCAGCTAAAGATAGGCCTCTTGTCCCATGGCCACGAAAATTCAGGTTCACAGACAATTTGAATGGTGAGTAAGACAGCGTTTTATTGATTGAAAAGAAAGAAAAGGGGGAAACAGGGACTCTCCGCAAGGGCAGAGTCCCTGCTAGAGCACTTCCTGCTTAGCCACTTGAATCCCAGGTTCCACACAGGAAGAGGAGGGGGGCAGGCTCTTCCTTGCTGCAAATGGACTAGAACCTGTGTGTGAGTCCACCCAAGTGCACACTCCCAGTGTGCAGACTGGTTGGAGTTTTGTCAGGGACCCCTCACACCTGGCTGTCTCACTATCAACTAAATGATTTTGATCATGGTCTTTAATAATATTCTACTGTAGTTTGTTTGTAAAATATAGCAATCAAAAATGATTTTTATTTTTACTCTTTGAAATAAAAATTCTGGTTAATATTCACCAGTACTGACATATAAAGACTAAAAAAGTTGAAAAAAAGAAAGTCAATCAATCTAAAGGATGTGTTTTCATTTGTGCCAAACAGTAGTTTGACGGAGGATGTTACAATTACTAGCTTTTAAAAAGTTGTTTGATGTAATTCACATAATTATTTGAAATTAATACCATTTCCTGGATCTGTCTTCAAAATGGTTTATGAACATTTTATTGAAACTGACATAACATTTTAAACAAAGGATTAATATGCTTTTCCCCCACGCCAAATAAGATAAAATAGAAATGTAAAGAGAATCAGAGTTCAGAAAAATTTGGGAAATATTTATGCCTGCCTAGAAAGGCCAAGAGATTTACTGTGGTGAGAGTAAAATTTGGCTCTGAACTTTTAGGCAATCAGGACAAAAATTGAGCCTGGTCTTTTTCTTCCAGAGAAGCATGAATCTAACAAATCCTATTGGAATAATAGATGTCAGTAAATAAAAATATAATATTCTCCCTTCACTGCCCTCCCATCTTTGTCTGGCCCATCTGAATACTGCTAGTTTTAAGTTCTATGTCATTTATCACTTTTGCCTTGAGATATTCCCAACAACCTTATTAACTTTGATTTTATCTTCTCCTAACTGCTGTTTACAATTGCAGGTATTAAACTTAGTTCTTGAATTTTATTTCTGTTGAATATGGATGTCTTTTCTCTTTGCTAAGACTGTAAGTCCATTGGGGACAGGGACTATATCATACACTCATGTATCTCTAAAATTTTCTTACCTTCCAATGGGCATATATTAGGTATGTAATAAACACATCAATTATATTGAAAAAAAAAATGTCTCAGTGATAGCCTTAAATAGGTAGAATTTTGAACTTAACATTGGGGTCTATAGAGTGGTCCTTAAATGAGCAGTTAGAGGGGTCAGTTTTTCAATAGATCAGTCAACTGGATTTGAATCCTTGTTGCACAATTTACTAGCTATATGTTATATAATTGCTCTGTGCATCAGTTTCTTATCTTCCTCAGGGAAAAACAGTAGTATCTACTTCATAGGATTATTATTAATTGTTTTTCATATTAATGTTGACTGAATGAATGAATACACATAAAGTGCTTAGAAAAGTAAACATTCAGTAAGTGTTAGTTGTTATGTTGTCTTAAAGTGCTTGGCACTAAGCCGTTCTTTCTGAAAATAAATAGTCATTCTTTGTGGTAATTACAGAACACAATCAGTTGTCTGAACTCTGTCCTCAGAAAGTGAAAGTATATGACAACAAAACCATGTTTTCATTACAGACAATAATATTTATATTATCAGTGGCAGGAAAGCATGCAGTTATCTGAAAATTATATCAGATTATTAAGTTAAAAAGAAGCGGCCCCAAACTACATTTCAGTTTTATATTACATAAAATGTTTGTATGTTAGAAACTCTTCTTCCAATCCACCTGTGGTAGTACCAATGTGCCATATCAAGTTCACATGTTTTATCCCGTAACTTGATCCAAAGGCAAGGGAAAAGCTGATAAGGGCTACAACCCCAATTATGTAATTCTTCCACAAAGTGATGACGTGTAACAAGGGTTCATTGTTAAATAGCTGTGTGTTAAAGCCAGTGTTGGCTCAAGAAACTCAGGTTTGAAGTTTGTTAAAGAGGAAACTGGCAGGGAGTTTTGAAGGATGTCCGTTAACTGAACTTAAGTTTCCATCGCATCCAAAGGCAAAAAAATGTTGACATCCCAAGGATCTCAAGCTTTTCTCCAGATAGCATGTAAGTTCAGAGATGTTCAGCGTCTTTCCCTAGACCTCTCTGGTGTTAAGTGTAGTCAGACTAGAGCTGGTGTGGGCTTTCGGGCTTTTGCCTCAAGGCAATATTTTTCTTATTTTATAAATTTATATAAAATAAGACCTGTAGCGAGGACTTTAAAGATAATATTTCCAGCTCCCCACTATGGTGGTCATTCCACTCTGATAATTGCCTTATGATAGAACAGAAAAACAGCGGTGACCAATCTTTCACCACATTTTCATCAGACTGTTTAGGGCATTGTATTTATGGATCTGTAATTGAAAGCAAATATATCATTGATGTAAAACAGCAAGGACAGATGGAGTACATTTAAAATTACAATTCATTTCTCAACATCAGATTTTGACTAGGTGTATGTGAATTAATGTAATTACTCATATGGTTGAAGCAGCAATTCAGAGTTTATAGTTTCGGACTATTTCAAATTTGACCTTGGAAAGATCATGTAGCATTTAGTTTAAATCTTTTTCTCTATCTATTCAGTTTCTCTCTGGAGAAATAATAGAAATAGTTCTTGGACTAATTTTTATTCTTAATAGTCTCTCTTTTGGTAGAATTAATTCCATCTATCTATCTATCTATTATCTAATATGTATTGCCACCACAAATACCACATTTCTCTTATATCCCCAATATCCACGTTAGCCTTTATGATGACACTTGTTGGCATAAATGTTATTGTAAATTTTAATAATGGGTCTTAGTTTTTAAAATTACTTGCAGATTATTTAATAATAAATCACATTCCCTTCACTTACCTTGGTATGTGTAATTTTTGTCTTCTTTGTTGCCTTTCACCACATCTTCAACCCAGATAACAGGAGCATCTTTGTTGTCCACAATCAGAATTATTCTACATATTTCAGATAACATTTCTGTATGGTGGTAATGGTGCCAGAATGAGAAGACACAATGATATTAGATCCAGGGTGCTAGAATTTCTTTCTTTGCTGGATTTATTGTTTTAAACTTATAGCCTAATTTTTATCAGAGTTATAGATGTGACCATTTTTAGTAGGAGGCATGACTTAGAGAGTGCTTTACTGGCTCTTGAATGCTGTATGTATTATGGAAGTATGTTTTTCATGGATGCTACATGTTCAGATCCTGTGATGGAGTAAAATGCTAATGTAGTTAAACCAATGAGATTACTTGCACTTGTGGAGTTCAGGGAGAGAGAGAAGAGATAACTCAGAGGTTTAATAAAAAGCTCCTGAGGCACTAATGGAGTCGAGAGACTAAGAATCATTTGTGAATAGCTGAGACTGAGGAAGATGTTTTTCAAGATGTGAGTTTAAAAATAAATTTCAACAAATAATTTTATTTGTCCATCTCCACATAGTAATGAAACAAGGAAATGATATTTATTTTATATTTAAACTACATATTACATTCTGAGTAGGACACGTAGAGTCTGCCTTGTTATAAAGGTTATCTTTCAGCCTCCTTTGATGTAGTATGCTTCCAGATCCCATATCATCTGTGTAAGTTACAATACTCCTATAAGGAGTATTGCCATTTAAAATAATTCACAGGAAATGTTCTGTAGCCCAAGTCATATCATTGCCAGTTACAGTTTGTGACTGTAGATTATTGGTGTTTTTCTCCACTTTGTCATTTGCAGTTGGTGACTTTATTGATCATTTATCCATATAGTTTTGGCTAAAATTTGCAACCTCCCCTCTTTTTTTTTTTTTGGCCAGTTGAAGGTTATATTATTGATATTTCTTTATCATATTTTGGCTGTAAATTTATAAAGAACTAAGGTGATTGGAAATAAAAATATGACATCAATATTCAGGGGTATTTATGTTTTGAAGAATTTTTTTTTCAAATGTCTACTCTTTTTAGGAAACCATGTATAAAACTTAAAGAAAATATTGGGTGTTTTTTTCCATTAGGCTGCTGGTTTAGGATATTGAAGGAAGTCTCTACACAGTGTAAGATAATTTTTCTATTTGGAAATAGAAAGGCAAATTCTTTTTCTGCTGTGTTCAACACCCCCGCATTAAAATATATAAGCCTCATTATATTGATTATAATCTCTTCTCACTTTTGAAAATGTGCTATGGGGGGTAGGAGCACATCCTTAGAGCCTAACAAATCTAAATCTGAATCTCCAGCTCCACTGTGTGAGTCTTGGCAAGTTATTTAATTACTATGAGCCTTATTTTCCTTTCTTTAAAATAGTGGTTATACTTCTCTGCTAAAATGCTTTAAAAATGAGACAAGGAGGGCATAGTGCCTGATACATCATAAATTACTTCTTGCCTCTCTCCCCACATCCAGCTTTTCAGTTGTTATATTCATGGGTACAACTAACAAGTAACTAACCCAGCTGCCTTAAGACTGTTTTCAGATATGTCTCTTGAAAGAGTTAATGGGGAATAAAATCTATAAACAACAGTCTGTCAGGAAGCAACCTGAGCATTTTATGTATAGTTGTCTTTTGGTATGCTTTCCTCAGTCAAGAAAAATGTTCAGTCAGGCTTAGAAAACTAGATTCACATTGATATGGGAAAGCACGATAATTCACAATTTTATATTAAAATAGAAAGCAATTGAATGACTTGGGAAAAGTAAATTCATTTGAGCAATATTTTTCAAAACTTAGCATGCATTAGTATCACCTCAGTCATGTCTTAATGCACATTTTGAGATCCATCCCAGTGATTCTGATTCAGTAAATCTAGTATTGACACAAGGGATTTGGAGTCATCTTGACCTCTTACTAGTAACTTCAAGGATATAATAAGTGACAAAGTTTAAACAAATAAAATTATTTGTCAACTTTATCCATCCATGTTGTCTTACTACTATTTTCCACATTAGTCCAGATAAAGTCAGTAAGTGGAAATGACTGAAACTGCTCATATCGACCAACTCAAAACCTGGAGTCAGACTGCCATTTCCTGTAGGCTGAGGCAAAGACTGTCTTGCAGAACCTTTAAACCATGCAGTACAAGTGTGCTGCATTATAATAACGCAAGGCATATGGAAATCAATTTTAAAAAGATAAATTAGTGGGTAATATTTTAGATTAGAAAACAATTTCAAGGTTCCTTTATCACAAGGTCTCTTGATACATTTGAAACATTATTTGATTTACACAAAACAAATTTTCACTCACCTTTTCAGAAAGACAAATATCATATAACACAAATTTATAAATGCGAGCTAGGAGGAAGAAACGTAGTAGCCTAAGTCCTAGATGGCTGAGGCACTCTGCTGCTATAAGATCACTGTCCTTCATAGAATAAAAAAATCAACAGTGGACCTTTTAAAATGTGAATTTTACCCTACAGAAATTAAATATAAGTTGCCTCCCATCTCACAATAAAACTGTAATACAAGTCATGAGAGACCTTCAAAAAAGACCCACCACCACTTTGATGTGTGTGTGTGTTTGCTTGGTTTTAAATTTTCAAATGTTTCTTTCCCATTAATATTGATGATAAAATGAAGCCCAATTGTTGATTGTCCAGGTACCCTACCTTTGGGACAAATCAGAATTTTGAAAGCATTGCTCCTGGGTCCTTTGCACTTGGCACCTCCCTATTTAGGGACAGTTGGGGAAAATTGGGAAGGTCATGGGAAGAGTTGGAAGCTCTTCCTTATTGCAAGACCAATTCATCTGCACCTTGAGACTTTTTGATGAATTAGGAGATTGTTATATTACCCAACATTATAAACTGTTAAGAGCTGTGCCAATATAAGATGCTACTATATCTATTCTGGAAAATTTTCACCTTTTCTCCTGAGACCAAATACTTGCCAGTCCCATAACCTCTTCTTTTGCATGCTCTGACATACCCAGAACATCTACATTTCTTTCATACAGCTTAATAACAACAATTCACATCAGGTATTGGTTTTCATGCATTCAGTTTCTTATTTTGAATGTTTAGTTTGAGAGATGATATCTGTCTTCCAGTGAGGAACAATCAAAAGCAAATATATTTTTACTCTCATATACAATAGTTTTATTTTAGAAAATATTTTTGCAAAAAGATTTTACTATTTCTAAGCAGTCTATGGAGTCAGAGAGATCTGAGTTCAAATTAGGATTATGTGATTAGTCTTGAGTGTTAAATTTGGAAATGTTTTCTTTCCTTGTAAAAATGTAATTTGTATTAAAAATCTGTATAGTTTCATGGTTTTCTAAAACATTCAGGAGGGACTAGAAATAGAGACTTGACAAAAATCAGTTGATCAGTAAAATATATTATTTGCAAGTTAGCATATGTTTTAGGTTCTATACATCAATTTGGATAAATTATATTTTATTTTTCTTATAAGGAGAATAGAGAAAGTTGTTCTCTATTATTACAAGTTAAAAAAAATTTATGGTTTAAGAAGAAATCTTGCCAAAAGCAAAAAAGAAAAAGAATTTTATGTCTTCCCAGTTAGCTCCGAATTGAACATGTGTTCAGTTGACAAAGTATTGAGCATGTGTTCCACCCTGTACTATGGATCTCTTTTATACTTATGCAGTCTCAATTTAGAAGGTCTTTAGGTTTTTCCTTGGGGTTTCTTTCCTTGTGCTTCCTTGATTTTATGTCTGTACTTTGGGGCCTACATGCATCCACATCTTGGGAGCATCTGTTCTGTACATTTACAAACGAACTTGTATGTTAAGAAATATGTGACTTGTTAAACTTTTTGAACAGAGTTTTAATGTGAGAGCCCATAGTAGAACACAGAAATAATTCAGTTAGCTAATATTTTAGAGATAGAGAATGGAATTAAAGTAGGGATTACTAAACAACATGTCATATATATATATGTATTTTTTTTTCTTTCATTCTATCCATTATCTCTGGAAGTTCTCTGGCTCTGATCAGAGAAAGAAAGCTTTTAGTATAGTGGAAAGACTAACAGCCTGTAAATTTTGAGAATAATTCAACTGCACCAATTATTAGCCCTGTGTTTTGGGGTGAGGGCTCAACTTCTTTGAGATTAATGTGTCTTCATAGGGTTGTTATGAAGACAAAATGAGATAATTTATGTAAAATGTGATGTGTAAACTTCAAAACACTGCATAACTTTATGGTTTGCTGCAGCTGCTGGTTGTTATTGTAACCATGCTGAGTCAACCTCTCCATTTTTCAACTCCAAGCATAAGTAAACATTTCAGTTGTTTAAATCGGTGAGGAATAGACAGGAAGGGAGACATAGGAATGGGGGGTAGAAGGAGGAAATGGAAGATTATCGAATGCTGGAAAAGGTAGATTAGAAATGCAAGTTTTAGACAAAAACTGAAATAAATTGGAAATATGTGATAAAGATTCCAGACACAATCTTTCTATCAGATTGTCACCACCCTCACCCTTAACCTGGACATGGCAGAATAAAAATTAAGCAAAAATAATAATAATAATCCAGCATTTTTGTCTTGTTAAATACCCTTTTGGTTGAATTTAAAGATGAGAAGTCTCAAAATTCCTGGCTTGTTTGGTGTAGCTTAGGGCCTTGGTTGCACAGAGCTGTGGTTCCAAGGATTGCTTCTATTTATAGTGTTTCACTTTAGATGAACGTAAAATATTTAAGAAAGAAAGTGGTTTCCTTCAGGAAATCAAGGGCATACACTTGTAAGACTCCTTGGAAACTTTACATTTCTAAAAATCATTATCAATTTGAATGTTTCTAGAAATAGGTTTATTAGTAGATAAACCTATTTATTAACAAATATGTTAATTTGTGCTTGTTTACACAAATTAATTCTTCCTTTTCTATCTTTGCAAGGACAACTTCTAATGAGAAAGCTTGCAAATGACATTTTGGTTTACATAATAAATAAAATTTTGCATTTGATTTTAAACTCACAAATCATAGCTTTATAACCCTTTATAAATTTGCTAACGATGTAAAGCCAAATTTCAATGTAGAAAATTAAGAACACTCTAAGAATAATACATTGCAAGGAAATTAGAAAATGGAAAACATAAAGATTAAAATTAGATTTAAAATGACAAAAATTTTTGAATAGCAAATAATTTATGCAAAATATGTTACAAAATCTGGGATGCTAAATAGTTGACACAAGTACTGTGTTTGACATTTAGTTTCATTTGAATTAGTAATAGAATTTGCTTCTTCCAACATTTACATCTTTTTTTCTTTCTGACTTTATATATTTTCAACAAAAATTTGCTCCACAGTTTTTGAGTTCATTCTTCTTGAAGCTGCTTTTAAATTTGCTGTGACAAACCTGCATAAAACTAGATTTTGTAGATATAATTTCTTTGGAAGAGATAAAAATTTAAAAGTTTGACGTTGTTTTCAGTTATTATTTTCTTCATTGTTTTCATTGACCCCTGTTAGATTGATATGCCAATCTACTTTTGATGGCATGAATATAAAATGACAACATAAAAGCACTTCTAGTGCAACAGTAATTGAAACTTGCAGTTTTCCATTTAAAAAAAAAACACAAGAATGCATGATTACTATTGATAACGTAACAATATTTTCAAACAATAACCTATGTCAAGCAAACAGCACAAACAAGTTGATTATTTCAGCTTCTCAAAACTCAGGTTTTCTTAATTTGATTTGAGTTAACTTTATAATACAATCGTGTAATCAATATGTGATCTGGGCTGGTGTCAAATTACTCTGAGTTATTTCTTTGATAATTTGGAGGTGACTCCCATTATGGATAGCAACATAAACAATTTAGAACATACTAAGGATGTTTACAGTCTACTCGAGTGATAAAGTTCTGCACTGTGGCTCATATCAATATTGAATGAGCTGTACATGTTTAAAATTCTTCCTCAGGAGAGAAATGATGTAGTGCACAATGCAAAAAAAAATTCATATGTTTCCTTTGAAATGTTTCCAAAATACTGGTCTCATGGTTCTAAATAAAAAGTTGTCTTAAGAACCAGGCACATTTTGCACTGACTGATGGTTACTTTTAGGCAAATGGCTATGGGTTAATTAGGAGAAAAATTGCTACTGTACAATTATTATGCACTATACTCCCACCTTGGCCTGAAAATAATGAGATGTAACAAAAGTTCTTATTTGTCACTGGTAGCTGCACCTTTTAACTGTATCACAAAGTCTGTTGCTGTGGTTACAGCCTTTGTTTCCAGTGATGTTTTGTCCATGCTTCCCCCCAACCCTTAACAATGGTTACTCAAAAGAATGAAATAATGAATCATTCATTCGGAAATATGTTAAAATATCCCTCTTTATCATTCCATTTCACTGCTTAGAAACTAGGCTGTAATTCAAGGCAACAGTTAAGTCTGAGAACTGTTAAAAAAATCTTTGATTTTTTTTTTTTCATTTTTAAGAAAAACCTGTCTATGTAATTGAAGAACCTCTTACAAGTCTGAGCAATTAAATCCTTTTTGGTTAATGTATTATTTCTGGAACAAGTAGATAAAATTCTACGCAGTAAGCATAATAAAAATCGTGCATGTTTCGCACAGCACAGAATTTTAGAGTCAAGGTTTCTGGGCACAAAAGCAGTAACAAAACAGTCCCTACAAAACTGAGTAACTCTGAATAACACAAGAAATAATTTTTGTTAATTTAAAATTTTAGAAACTGAAATGTGTAAAGTTTTTAAAGTAAAATGTAATTAAATTATGGTACTGTACATACCAGTTGTTTCTACAATTGAAACTTTACAATATGAAAAATACATTAGCTTTGTACAGTTTTTACAGGTAGGTAGGATGAGTTTTGAAAAAAAGATTCTTTTATTTTTCAGGGTCATACTCTAAGTCAAAAAATACTGCACAACTTAGCTAATTACAAAGTGTAGACTTAAAACAATTCATGTCTTCTTTATTTCATGAATCAATCTTGGATTTTTTGTTAATTTGAACAGGGGATTTTGTGTTTTGCTTTGTTTTTAGAGTCCACAATGAACACATCTTCCTCATTTTGTCCTTGAGGTTACAAAGTTTGGTAGCAACCCCGGGCTACCAGTGATCTCAGTTAAGCTAGCTGCTGTTTATGGTCACTGATTCGGCCAGCTGTTGTGATTGTGCTCAGGTCCAGCTCAGTCTCTAGGTGTGTTTCCATCGTATCTTCCTGTGCATTCGTTTCAAAGGACTTATGGGAGAGAAGTTCATGATGCACCCCACAGTAACTTATTGTGGGCTGGTCGTATGCCAGAAAGGTTGACACATTCATTGATAAAGGTATCTGGGGAAAAATGACATGAGAAAAGTCAGTTACATGACAGAGAAAAGATAGACAACTTTAGGGGAAAGATTTGGAGACTGAAGTGCTGACCTGACTAACCTCCATGGTTATATCTGTGGCCCTGTGGCCCAGGTGTCCCCACATTATCCCGCTAATGCCCCCCATTCTCATATAGTGAGATCAGTGCGACAGTTTTAAATCCTGGGATGAAACTGCTTAATTCTTTACTAGAAGATTCAGATAAATAGTAGCCTACATGGTTCTGAAAATGATAAAAGATTTATTGGAACAGCCAGAAAATTGCTTTCCCTAACTGGAAAACATTGTGTTTTTAGAACTGAGAAACACTATTATTATTGTTGTTATTAGTGTTAATTATCCTATTATTTGGTTAGGATACAATAGAACAAGAGTGATTCTCAAACTTTAGCATTCATGAAAATCACCACCCACTTCTTTAATTAGTCAACCCCCTGCCACCCAAGATTCTCATCCAGTAGGTCTGGGATAGGTCCTGGAATCCACATTTCTTACAAGTTCCTTTATGATGCTGGACTATTAATCCACACACTACGTTTCGATAACCATTGCAGAAGAGAATTATCTAGACAAGTCATTCTGGCTATTCTTACCCATAACTTCTTAATATTTATTTTACCATAAAATTCCTTAAAATATTAATGTCTGTAGTTTGGTCCATGTATCTAAAATTTAGATGAGTTTAGAGAATTCCCAGGAAAAATCTATGGTTCCTATGAGGGTCTAAAAAGCATCAAAGGATGATGCTAGTTTGAAGGAACCACCTGTATCTATGAGGAAGGGACTCCCTTGCCAATTAAAGAAAGCAAGTTCTAAAGGTGAGGGAAAAAGCAAGCATGACCATGGTGAGAAGAAGGGAAACATACATGTTACAGACAAAGGAGAGCCTGAAATGTAATCAGATGTCAAAGTCTAGAGATATTTCCCATTTCCTTTTCAATAAGATAAAACCTTGTCCTAAAAAGTAGCCAGATTTCAGGAACCTTCAGTCTTGATCTTGGTTTAATATCCTAATTACTAATTCATGCTGTTTAATTCTCTGGAGGATAAAAACTTCTGCCATTCTTGTTTGGCGAACAGATAGAATGTATATTTGTTTGAGCACATCAGACTAAATTCCTTTCTGATCTCAGCTGAGATTAGAGCCCAAAGCTAAGAAAAATAGAAGGCCTAGGTATTATTTTTTTATTAACTGCATCTTTACATTTTTCCCCCTCCTCTCCATGCATTAGAACCATCTTTGTCACTTCTGTTTCCATCCCTACAGTTCTACTTACATTTATTTCTGCTTCAGTGAAAATTCCTGGAGCAAATATTACCTTTTATCTCTTTAACAGAAGTAATCAAAAATAAAAAATAAAACTAATCACTTCTTTTAAGATTATTTGCTTATAATATGAATATTTCAGCATGTCAAATATATGGAGCTTAGTTCTTAGAGAGAGAAATGTAATCCAGTTCATTAAATGAGATTCCTGAGTAACTCTTCCTTTTTATGTGGATTTTAAAGATTTAAAACATGAAGTTATCTGATGCGGGAATGAAAGATATCATACACTTTTAAAAATGGTCAAGCCGACTGAAAAATCCTAAAGAAAATGCTTAAGAGTAAAATAGGATATTTCCATTTAAAATAAATAAGAATCTTGTTGTCACAGATGAAATAGCCCAGACAACTAAAAAATATTTTTATGTAAAAGTAAATGTGCAGCATGAATAGATTTGAGTTATCAAAGAGAACAAAAATAGAACTGTTACTGGGTACATGAGTTTTACATTTTCCTCTGGGAAATCACTGCTCTGTAATGTGCTATGGGTCATATATCTATAGGATTTTATATACTTGTTCTTATTTGTCACGGAAACTTATGCCTCATATATGCAGAATCATTTCTGGCTTACCTGGAATTAACTCTACTGTGAATAATTTGTAATTTCTATGGTCATGATTTATGAAAAATAATAAACCATGATACATTTATTCTGTGTGTGTGTGTTTGTGTGTGCACACACAATTTCCTGCTTGATTTAACATATAGAGGCTACTGGTATACAGAGTGCAAGTCCTAATTTGAACCATTATCAATTAAATAGTTAGCTCCGATTATCTGTTTTAAAAATCCCATATATTATTTTCTTTCGTGAGTTTCTTACTGTTGGATATGTCTTATTTTGAAATACCTTATACTATGATTATACTGTTTCAATATAAATACATATTTTTTCACATTTTAATATTTCTGAAATTAGGATGGAACTTATAAGCAATGTGAATGTTTAACATATATCATTTCCCTGTAATTGACAGTGCATTTTAAAGTTGATTCTATCTTATTAACAATAGAATAACGTAGTAAGATGTATCAGTAAGTAGAATGTAACAACTAACCATATCTGAATACAGCATCACAGTAGATTTTTCCCAGGTTGACCTAAATGATTTTGAAAATCTAAGAGAGTTAGCATTGGATATATACCCATGTGTATATATAGGGGTACACACATACGGAGATATATATATAATATATAAACATGTATGTATATACACATGTATAAACTTATAGCCAATTACGGTTTCAAAATCATTTAAATCAGGTATGGAAAATGCAGATTTTGGTGACACATCGGTTTTGGACCACTTTTACGTACTCATGACATCTATATAAGATTCATGTAAATATAGTATACATACCTATGGATATATACATGATATGGTATATGTATGCACATGTGTGTACATTTACTCATAAATTTTTCAAATTGTGTTCAGGTAAGTCTATTGAATTATGAATATTTTGCACTGACAATTTTATTGGAATGACAAGTAAGATAATTTTTAAATATATAAAATATTTGGTTAAATTTAAGTCATTTCTTTCTCAATTTTTAATTTCTAAGTATTTTATACAGATGTGGTACAAGGAATATTTGTTCTTTTGCGGCTAATCAGATGGGTAAAAATTATTAAAGCTGTATGATATATGAGGCACCATGCTTGACAATATGAAGAACCTAAATATCAGTGGAAGGACCAAGTGATTTAGGTATAGAATATGGTCAGTAATTTTCTTTTTAATTATATACTGTTCCCAGCAGTTACTATATAATTCACTAGATATTTACATTAAATACAATTGCTATCATGTATTTTAAAATATGTAGTATGAAAATAAATTTTACTTAAATTTAAAAGACCTAGTTCACTGTTCAATGAGATGACGCTAAAAGGCTATGCTATCTGGAAATACTTATTTCGTTAGAATATCCATGTAGCACAGAAATTGTGTGTAATTTTTAAGCAATATATAGTTTGTTTTTATAACGTTGATTACACAAAATATAATGATTCCTAAATGTAATAAAAATAAATAGTCTTTATTATCTAAATTTGTATGGGAGGGATATTTTTGCTTCTAATTATTAATAATGAGAAAATTACTTCTTTGTCAAAGCAAGTCTTCCTCATGAAAAATATTACATATGTTGTTTGTAATATCTTTTCTTCTCTATATCAACATCATATGTTGATTACTTTCTCAGTGTAGGGTATTAGATTTTTACATGTTAATTCAAGTAGGAAGTCAGATGCTAAGTGTGCAACACATTTTCTCCTCGAGTAGCAGTGCACTACATGCTGCCTGACATCACGGTATTGCCTTAAGAGTATTCTTTGGTTCTTCCATGAAGAGATTATTTGTCCCTTTCAAATTATAGTCAGTTGTTTGAGAATATGGCAAATCACAATTTGTGATAGTACCATAATTTGAAAAAGGACTGTGACTAGGATGAAACCTATTTATGTTTCAAGTAAACTAAATCTACAATTATAAGAAATTAAAATCATGGTATTTTTCACACCAGGGTAAATACTTGATGCAGAGGTTTGGGCAACAACTGTGAATTCAGCAATCTTTTGTGGGGGGAGTTTCAGTTTTGTTGGGAGGGTATGTCCTTGCACCAAAAAATGACTGGTGGCTGGGTACTAATGGAGAGGCTACCAGCTGGCATTAAAAAAACAAATCTGTTTGACTCAAACATGTAGATCCCTTCCTGTCACTAACTCACAGTAAATTCCATTCTCTTCACATAACCATCAAGTGACCTTGGGTCCTTTTTTCTTTTCTGTTTTTCACATTAACCTTCTCTCTCTCTCTCTCTCTCTCTCTCTCTCTCTCTCTCTGTCTCTCCCTCTATTTCTTTCTCCATTTTTACCCCATTTTTATTAACATGTTCCCTCCTGCGATTAGGGTGTTCAACAGTACAGTCCCCATTTATGCTTATCATCCCATTTTGACAATAAATGACTCAGTCAGCCTACCTGAGCAATGTATCCAAATACATTATTTCATAAAATAAACAGTTACCCTAGGTGTCTGAACTAGCTAGTTGGAATAGGCTCATGGAAGGGCAATAGGAGATTTAAATCTAATAAAGCATTGGCTTCCCCAGATCGTTTGTTAGAAGGCTCTATTTAACGTGTCCATAAAATCTTCTTGTTATATCTTTCTGAGAATTAAGTTTCTTTCAGTGTATTTTAACCTGCTAAACTCCTATTTATCATTACTTCTGGTTTCTTTTAATCCTCTAAATCACTGTTTTCCAAGAAAGGTAATTATTCTTAAGGCTATGAATTGTGGAGATTCAGGGATATAAAATCTTACTGTCTAGAAAGCATTATCATGTATACTCTGAGCTAAGAAAATCACATTGTAATAATAAGTAGTAGTAGCTAATCCATTATTTAGGAAATTCCCTTAGGAAAAATTTCGATTGTGCTAAACTAGTAGTGTCTTGACATCAATGATATTTGCCCTAGCAGCAATTTCCCAGTGATGTGTGTCCAGTCTCATATCACTGTCTCATATCAACATCAATGCTATGTACCTTTCACATAAAAAGTATAAAGTTAGACGATTAAAAATAACTAATTACAATGGTCTTTTCCCCATTCATATGTAATA